AGCATCAAAGACTGGGAGATAATAGGCCTCGCCGTTTCCGATGGCATAGACGGGTACGGAAAATACGTGACTACAGGACGGTCTTATTCACGTCTTGTAACAAATGGAACAACTTCGTCTTGTTGTGGTGATCATTTTAGTTGTTATACAAACCATGGTGTAACTGGAGACATACGAGTTGGAATAAATGCAAAATGTGCGCCAAGAGATGATGTTATGGGTCCTTATTTGGATTCACTGAAGTGTTTAGATGTTGGGATTGATGGAATTGGGGTTTGTCATTCCACGAAACAAACCAAATACAACACCGAAACACCTGAAAATGGAAGCATTATGCGTACTACCACCATCTTGTTCTTTTCCAGAGATTAGCCTGACAAAGCAGGAGTTGAAAATAATTTACAGAAGTAGCCATACATTGAGCCAAATTAAGAAAAAGCATGATCTACAAACCTAAAATAGGAAGCGTATAAGATGTAACACTCTTTACAACCTTCAACGAGAAGATAGATCCGCAGGTTATAAATAGGTTGTCTGAAGATTGACTGGTGACACACCACCATAACAACCAACATCCCTCCTATCTTCCCCTACATCACACAAAAGCACCCAAGGTGGGGATCGAACCCACGACCACCTGCTTAGAAGGCAGATGCGCTGCCCGCTGCGCTACCCGGGCGTGGTCACTTAAAGCGTTTACTACATTATGTACGCAGTTTGAAGTAACTACGACCCATAGCAATTCCAAGAACGTCAATATTATTGAATTACTTGTTTAACAGAGTTAGTACGCTTGTATATGTTAGGGAGGGACGTTGCGCGTTAGCATATTGATCTTAAAACAGTAGGACCAAATATTTTGCCCACTTGATCGGCTTTACAGGCGGTCTTACAGTCAGATCATACAAGTATACTTCAAATAACATCATTTTAATGTCGGGTGTGCGTGCCTCGACTTACCTTTCAGTTAAATTAGTGTGTTACTCTGATTAAGAGGTAGTACACGATCGGTTAGGAATTTAAACAAAACTCATGTGAAAAGCGTATCATAACGTATTGCAGTAACGTTTTTTGTGGTTGGATAAGAATGTTGCGATTTATTTGGTTTATTGCAGTGGTTTCACAATGTTTGTTTCCTGGTTAGGATTCTCAGACTGCCTCAATTTTCATTCCTATCACCGTTGAGGAAATGGTACGTCTATTGAAAAGTTGTTCAACACAATCTCGAATTTGGCGATGACATCCTTGATTCGCATAAATGCCAGTTGATAAATTCAATCAACGAACCAGTCTTTTCGTGCAATTTCCCTGTGGTCAACGTGAAACAATGCTCGAATGACCACGCATTAACTGAGAGCGTTTAACTTTTGCTGCCGATAGTTGGTGAGGTTGTTAGTGTAGGAATGCGAATCAGTGACTACCAGGAATTGATGGACGCGTACAAGACAGAAGGCATAGATTCTAATTATTGTTAGTAT